GACTCACTTCTAAAAAAAAGAATGAACCAGAAGTGATGGTATCTGACGTTGGAGACCAAGTCACAAAAGGAACTGTAGTTCCTTCTTGCTCTCTGGGGAAAGAAACCAGGCCATGCCATGAGGGCAGTCATACAGCCTCTGGAGAAGGCCAAGGGGCGAGAGGCTGAGGCCTCCTGCTAACAGCCATGTGAGTGCCCCGCCTGGGGCATGGATCCTTGGCTTAGTCAAGGATTCTGATGCCTGAGGCCCCTATTGACATCCTGACTGCCAACTGACAGGAAGCCTTGGAGCCAGACCCACTCGACTCAGTTCATAATGCACAGACACTATGAGATAACAAATGTTTGCAGTTTTAAGCTACTTAATTCTGGGGGAATTTGTTACTCAGCAATGCATTACTAATACCCTTTCCAAGAACCTTCTGTTGTATTGCCCTTCTCGTGATAATCACCGTTAGGCATAGCTTTTTTTTTTTTTTTTAAATATAGATTTGAGAGGGAGAGAACATTGATGTTTTTGTTCCTCTTATTTATGCATTCATTTGGTGGATTCTTTTACATGCCCTGATCAGGGATCGAACCTGCAACCTTGGCGTATCAGGACGAAGTTCTTTCTAACTGAGCCAGCTGTCCATAGCTAAACATAGCTCTTTGGGAGTTTGAGCTTAGGCTTAGAGAAGCCTGCCATGATCCTTCATCTATATAATTTGTGGAACATTAAAAGCATATACACAGGCATCATCTTCTAGAAATCTTACTCAACAGATGGGATCAAGCGTCTGTATTTAATTAAATGATTTTTTAAAAAATGATTCAAGGGTTTTGAAGAATATTTTTGAGTAAGAACTTGTGTTTCTTTTTATAGTTAAAAAAAAAAAGTCACATGCCTCTCTATTCTGTGTCCTCCATGTTCTTTGAGACTGAATGGGGGAGGTCACCTCACTTTTCAGTATTGCTACTTCAGACACTGGGAAGCCAGCAAGCCCAGTGCTTTTCCTATGAACCTATTATCAGCCTTCTTCAGCCTGAATTGCAGCAGATTTACCTGAAGGCTGATTGTGAGGCCTCACCCCTGGAATTCTTAATGCAGTGGGTCCAGCATAGGGAGCAAGACTGCATTTCTAGTTAAGTTCTCAGGTGATGTTGTTGCTGCCATGACTGGTCTGTGACCACACTCAGAACCATCACTGGAAAGTACTAGGCCTGCTGTGTATACTCTGCCTCAGAAATTGCCCAAGATTCTCCCTATACTGCAATCCTATCTAATAAAATAGTAATATGCAAATTGACCACAACTCCAACACACAAGATAGCTGCCCCCATGTGGACACAAGATGGCCTCCACAAGATGGCCAGCAGGAGAGGGTAGTTGGGAGGGACCAGGCCTGAAAGGGAGGGCAGTTGGGGGTGATCAAGCATGCAGGGGAGGACAATTAGGGGTGACCAGGTCAGCAGAGGAGGGAAGTTGGGAGCGCCTGGGCCTGCAGGGAAGGGCAATTGAGGGGGACCAGGCCTGCAGAGGAGGGCAGGTAGGGGTGACCAGGCCTGCAGGAGAGGGTAGTTAGTGGTGATCAGGCCTGAAGGGGAAGGCACTAAGAGGCAAACAGGCTGGCAAGGAAGCAGTTAGGCATCAATTAGGCTGGCAGGGGAGTGGTTAGGTGGTGATCAAGGTGGCATGCAGAAGCAATTAGGGCAATCAGGAAGGAAGGCAGGCAGGCAATTAGTTGGGAGCCAGCAGTCCAGTAGAATCAAGCCTAAATGGGCAATCAGACATTTCTCAAGTAGTGTCAGATTGGAGAGGGTACAGGCTTTGTGAGGGGACACCCCCCCCCCCCCCATTTTCATGCACTGGGCCTTTAGTAACAAATAAAAACAAACAAAATCTCATTCATTTTGCCTGGGACAAAAGTAATCCATGGTGATGGACATCCTAGTAGTAGTAATTTGGGGCCATTACAATTGGAAAGGAAATGTAAAGGGACCTTCAGGGATGCTTGGGACATTCTAGTTCTTGATCTGAGTGGTGGTTCCATCACGAAGTTCCCTTTGCAAAAGTCCATTTGTACACAATAATTTGTGCACTTGTCTATGTTATACTTAAAATCTTCCTTAAAATTAATAGTAATGATAAGTGCTGTGGAAAACCTGGGCCTCCTCTTCACTATACCTCTGTTTATAAGTCGGTTTTCCCCCAGGGGTACGCTGGCACCTCAACAAAGAAATTTTTTTTTTCTTTTTTATTCACATATGTTGTTTATGTATGTGTCTGTGTGTGATACCTGGGGAGTGGCTGCTTTCCAAGCTGTCTTTTTTTTTTTCTTTCAAATTCCTCACCTGAGGACATGCCAAGAGAGAGGAATGGAGAGAAACATTAATGAGAAAGAAACATCAATCAGTTGCCTTTAATACATGCCCCAAATGGGGCTCAAATCCACAACCCAGATATGTGTCCTGACTAGGAATTGAACTGGCAAACCCTTCAATGCACAGTATGACACTCAACCAACTGAGCCTCTCTAGCCAGGCCCAAGCTATCATTTCTTTACAAACAAATCTAGGTCTTCTAAAGAAAATATTGTAAAAGAAATATTTGCCTGTTTTAAATTTCTAGAATAGATATCGATGGAATAATTTGAAAAGCACGTTGAGCTCTCATTAATGCTTCTCGAGAATCCCAGCTTGTGTTTGGCCATGAAACTTGACCAACAAGTAAGAACTTCAGGAGGGAAAGAAAACCCCGCCCAGATGGACAGCCCATTCCTTTGAAAAGTGCCTCAGAGGCATGGCCTTTGTTTTGTCTTCCAATGAGGACAAATGCCACTTAAAGAATCCCTTGTTTCATCACATCAAAACTTGGGAGTCTCAATGTGGAGGCTTGTTTTGTAAACTTACCAAGAAAAAAAAAAAGGCTAATTATTGCTAAAACTCCCCCAGAGACATTTCACTTTCTATATCATCCCTTTCCTCCCATTTAAGTTTATGAGTAAGAAGGTCTACTCACTCTAAAAGGTTGGCTTCAAATGTAAACGAGGCCAGGTAACTTGGGACTTGAGATTTTCAGGTGATCTGCAGAATTGTTATTTTGGAACTCAGGAGCTAAGTAGGACACGTTGGGACACGTTGCAGGTACTGACTTCACGGCTGTGGAGGACAGTGCAAGCTCTTCTACTAGACATCCTCAGTCTAGAGGACTCACTGGGACATGGTAGTTCATCCAGGAGCTTTTGAGCCTAACCAGTATCACCAATTGGGTGGCCTTGGGTAAAAAACTTCTCTCTTCCTCCAAATTTCAGGGTTTTTTCCTTCTGTTAAATGTGAATAATGATGTCAGAAGTCTACTAGGAAAATTACATAAAATATAAAAAATACTTAAACTTTGCCTGGCACATAATAAATATTCCATGAGGGGCAGCCTAAGTATTAAGGGATGAAAGGAAATGAAATGGGCCATTCGATTCAGTGTCAAATTTCCTAATCCCTGTATCTTTCTAATGCAAACATGAATAAATCAGTGGTTATTATATTAATATGTACATGGATGAATAAAATGTGGGGTTTTTTTTCTGCAATAAAAATTATCTAAAAATTACAGATGTGGAGAACAGATTCTGGGTTGCCAGGGGTTTGGGATGGAGGGTGTGAGGGGAGACTTGCCGCTGGAGGGAGAGCTTTGTGGTGATGGACTAGTCTTGTTCCTTGACCACGGTGGTGATTACAAGAATCTGCACATCACAGAATACCATAGACCCATATATTTACATTGTATCAGGTGAGTTTCCTGGCTCTGGTATCCTATATAATAAAAGGCCAATATGCAAATTGACCAAATAGCAGAATGACCAACCACTATGATGCACACTGACCACCAGGGGCAGACACTCAATGCAGGAGCTGCCCCGGGTATTCAGTGTGCCCCCATAGGGGGAGCACCACTCAGCCAGAAGTCCTGAGCTGGGCTCACTGCTGGCGAGTGCAGTGGAGGAGGAGGTGGGAGCCTCTCCTGCCTCTGCAGCAGTAGGACATCCCCCAAGGGCTCCTGGACTATGAGAGGGTGCAAGCTGGGTTGAGGGAATCTTTCCCCCACTCTCTTCTCCTGAGTGCATGAATTTCGTGCACTGGGTCTCTAGTTGTATTATAAAATACAAGCATGTTACATCAAATATAAGTGACATAAAATATAACCATGATCTGAGAAACTGGGTGAAAGGGTATGCCCAAATCTTTATACTATTTTTGCAACACCATGTTAATCTATACTAGTAAGTACTTCAAAATAAACAGTTACACACAAAAAGTACCTGAATAGAATTTCCTCTTTTTACTACAATTTCAGTATTCAGGTCTCTCATGCTATCTCATGTAAACCAGTTGGAGTTCTGGCTTAAGCTTTGGTCTTTGATTTTAAATGTTAACATTCTCAGTGCATAATATCTTCCATTGTTTTCCCTTTTCAGGACATCTTGCTCCCTCATTGCACATGTCTGATTTAGTGGTGGGTAAATGTGCCACAGGCAGGATTCTAAAAGAATACTAAGTTTAATCATCAGTGATTCTAAAATATTCACAATTAATACTGAGCATGTGGTAGATATTTCTATCTGTTTTCTGCCATCAGCAGCAAGGATATGAGTATGTGATTAAAATACTCTGTGGTTTGAGAGATAAGGCAAATTAATATCAGTTCATAGTATAGAAGTCTTGAAATGAAACTGCTAATCAGCCAATCAGCTCAATAACAGGAAAACTAGACATTCTTAATTCAGGTGATGTGGTGGTTAGATGGCTATGCCCCGAGTACCTGCACTAATTAATTCCTGGGCCCTTAAAAAATGTTTGTGGATGTGAATGAGTGAATGAATGATTGGACCATTAAGATAAACCATGCGAAACTGATCAAGTCTAAAGATAAGAGTGATGAATTCATTCAACTTTGTGACCTAGGATTGGAAGAAGCATGACATGCCAGAAAACCTTATAACCCTTTTCTCTTTGCTTCTCTAGGCAGCTTGAAATCCACTCTCCAGATGCTAAGCACACGGTGATCCTAAGGGGCAAGGACTCAGCCACTGCTCAGGCCTGGTTCAGTGCCATCCACTCCAACGTCAGTGACCTGCTGACCCGAGTGATTGCCGAGGTCAGAGAGCAGCTGGGGAAAACAGGCATTGCCGGGAGCCGAGAGATCAGGCACCTTGGCTGGCTTGCAGAAAAGGTAAGGAAAGTGCCAACACCCCTCCCGCCCCTCGCCCCATCATGGTCATTTCCCCCAAGGTGTGCACAGCACTTGTGGCAACCACTGAAATCAGTCCTCATTCGGTAGGCTGATTCTCTTAGTCACAGACTGTTCAGATTTCTTGTTGGTATACAACAGGTTTGCATTTGCGTTTTACAGGGTCTGCGTCTTAATAAACTTTGATTTCTCACATATACTCCAATAAATATGTGGTCAGCTGAATGAATAAATGAGTGGGCAAATGGAAGGATAGGTTGATTCTCATATCTACACATGAAGGGCTTGGAAAATAAACCTACAACAGAGCTGTTGCCTTGGGAAGTAAGGAAGTTGAAACTGTTGATTAAAAGGGTTTGTGCGGGTTTTGCTGAACCTGTTTATCAACAATGCTGATAAATTTACAAATAATAGCAATAATAATATCACCCAGGTTGTCTTTGAGCAGCGACTGCATGCTGACTCTTCTCATATATTGTTGTATATTTTACCTGTATTCTTAAGCCAGCAGACCCAGAAAGTCATCCCTTATGAGCATCCATTTTGTGCAAGGCATAGTGTTAGGCAGGAATGGTGGATGTATAAAAAAAAGGAGCAGAGCAGCTGTGGGAAGGGCCTGGGGCCATGTTAACACTGTCACTCTGATTTCTTTTCCCAAGCTATGTGATATGTGGAAGATAGTAAAACTCAACTTTGCGGTGATCTCCTGGGGATTAGCCCTTCTGTTCATTTCAAAGGATTGAGCCTTTGCCATTGTCCCTATACCTGATTGCTGTCCCTTGAACTTGACCTTGAGTGCTCAGGAACACTGAGCTTTTGGGACAGCCTGACCTCCCAGTGACTCACATTCTAATAGGCGGTAAATGGGAATAATGATTGTCACAGTAACAGCTTTCCTGCCAGTGAACCATGTCACCTGAGAAGGCCCAGTCAAATGGCACTTGAAAATAATACTTGAACACAGAGTTCGGCTGGTTTCCAGCATTGTTCCTTGTTTGTACCAGTTCATGCGTGGGGCTCAGCCACACAGTTCAACACTCAGTGAGCTGTTTGGTTTGGGATTGTCCCATCTCTCACAGATTTCAAAGGAATAAAGGGACAGCACAGGTGGTAGGAGCTCTGAAACCATAACAAACAGAAACCACAGGTTGCCTCTAGAGACTTTTAATGTCAAGGTTCTTGAAGAAGACAATATTACCTATCTGGATGATGTCATTTTAGAAGTCACAGTCTATAGCCCTCTCCACTTTGTACTCTTCCCAAATATATGTGTTTTCATTAAAGAAGGCCCATTAGGGATCTTTCATTGTCACATGATAGAAAGCTCAACTCAGCTTGAGCATTATTCTTACCATGTCTACGGGTAAACATCAGGCATGGTCGGATCCAGGGTTCAGATAATAATAGGTTTCCCTCTCCATCTTCTTGCACCCTTTTCTATTTTGTTAGTTTATACTCAGGCCTGCCCTCTTCCTTGGCCTGACAGTTTCAGGTTGTGTTTTTTCTCACAGTTGGCTATCCCAAGTAAATAGAGGCCTCTTTGCCCCCATAGTTCCAACAGAACTAATTTTAAGCCCAATTGGACTGACTTAGATCACATGATTAGCCCTGGTTTGGGGCTGAGATCAGCCTCATCCAAGCCCTGTGCACTGAGAGATGAGAATGAGGAGAGGTGATTTGCTTATGGAAAATGAGGCTGCAGTGCAAGAAAAGGACTAAATGGATTCTGGGGATGCAAAAGCAACAGGCATTCATGACAGAAGAAAAAAGCGAGTTGATCGGAAAAAAAAAATGTTCTACCTCGTTTAAGGTCTTGAGTCCTTGGAGATGTACCATAGGTTTCAGAATTCTGGTGGAAGTCGAATGACAAACTCAAAAGGAATGAACAGAAATGACTTATTACAGGAATAAATTAGAAGGTGGTCAAGGTAAGGAGAACCAGTAGAGATGGAAAAGTACCCCAGAGCTAACAATAGCAAGAAGTCACTACCCCTTACTTACAATGGCCAAGAAAAGGAGCAGTTACCTGAAACCAGCAAGACTTGTAGCTGTAGAAGAGGATCACCCACGAAAAGCTGTGGTCTTTGGGAGAGAAATAGCACCCTGCCAACCCCTGCCCACTGATCTTTCATTGGTGTCTCCCACTGGCTGAAGTTAACTGGGCGCCAGAGGCCCGGAGACCCCATTGATATACTGTTAAGGTCAGCTTAGAGGGCACAAAGCAGGGGGAGAGCCTGGATCTGGGGTCAAAGGAAGTCTGCCCAGAAAACACATTTCTCTACTTCTAAGTAACTGAGATGGTCTCAATTCCCAAAGATCCTTTTCTTTCGTCTCTTTTAATATAAACTACATTTAAAGTCATTACCGTTTGGATCAGATAGTTGAAAATTGCATTGGGTCAATATTAGTGATATTGAAAAATTTTCCATAGGTTCCATTTTCTCACTTGTAAATGGTCTGCTTGTGACTTTTGCTTATCCCAAAATGTAAGTAGAGACATTATTTGGCATTTCCATGGAGCAATAATAAAATACATAAAAAGCTCTTCCTGTTTTTAGAATATTTCTTTTCTTTTGATATCGTTTCAGATAGTCTTACTAGATGTTTCTTTAAATTATATAATGCATTATATCCATAAAATAATGACTTATCTAACGTCACACTCTAAATAAAAATACAGAAATAATTAAAGAGGGACCATGCTGTGATCTCATTATTCCTTTTCTTTAACTTAAACGAATCTCCTGCAGCTCATTCACTGCAATGTTTTATTCGTTTCTTGATTCTAGTAGCTGTCCTATGCACTCCTACTGGTATCAAGGTCAGTGTTGGGCAAGTGGCCTTTAACTGAGGCCATATTCCTGTCTCTTTGACTTCCTGGTTCTGTCAACTACACACAGTGATGGGTCCTGTACTGCTTTCTCCTGTCAGTACCCTCACTATAGACGGGCCAGGTGCCCAATATAAAGTCTTTCCCATTAACATCCCCAATCTGTAATCCCTGCCCCGAATTATTAAATACATCATGTCTCAAACACATTTTTAAATCATTGTTTTTCATTTAATCTTTTTACAGTTGCCATTAAGGTGTTTAAACTGTCTGGGAACAGAAAAAAGAAAGATAAATGAAGCTCTGACTCTCTTGCTACCTAGAAAAATAATAAACAGGGACATGGCAGAATTGCTGGATTGTTTTGAAATTGGTTCATCAGGCATTGCCTTTGCTTAACTTTGTTATCTCAACTTGCAAACTATTTCTTGTCAGAATGAAAACACACCACAGGACAATAAAACCCAGTTGGAAGCTCTGAGATGCAAGTTCAGTTCTCAGCTTCCCTCATATCTACCTCGGGTTCTTTCAAAGGAGGACATTTATATCACTGTGCCTACAAGGATGTTCTCGGAGGGAAAGAAACTGGTAATTAGTATTTATGGTGTGCCTGGTCTGTTTCAGGCCCTGTGCTTTAATCATCCCTGTCCTATGAGGTAAGCTTGGAAAAAGCGAGTTCCTTTGTTAATATCACTCCTCTAATTAAGTGGCTGAGCCAGAGTGAGAGCCCTTCTTTCGAACTCCCAAGCCCAGAATGTTCCACTAAGACGAAATGCAACAAAATGGCAAGTGCTTAACTCTGGAAGCGAAGTTTAAATACAATGTGCCTGTTATTATAGAAGGAAGAGCTGCCCATGGGAATGTGGACACTGATACTCTTCAACTGCCTCCTAATACATAGTCTGAAGAATGTGGTGAAAGGCAACTTCAAACACAATGAAGAGGGAAGGCTGAAGATGCCCCAGAACAGTGGTCAGCAAACTGTGGTTCAACCGCCACTCTGTTGACTAATGAGTTTGTCGACCACTGACCTAGACTCTTGATTCCAATAATTACAAGCTTTGTTGTTCCTTGTGATGTCCTTATCTCAGTGGTCGGCAAACTCATTAGTCAATAGAACTGCAGTTTGCCGACCACTGCCCCAGAAGAAGTGATGCCCGTGGAAAACGTCATATGAAGGAACCACTTAGAGATATTTCCCATCATTGAAAACACAGAGTAGAAACTGCTGCTTGCTGATGCAGACTCAGAAAGGAGGATAACAACTTTCCCAGGCCTGGAAAAGATGCTCACACTGTAGCGTTGAGGAGCAGGTGACCAGCACAGTTCAGACTATGCTTGAGAAGGTTTTGACAAGGAAATAGGCAGTTTAATTCTCCACCTTTTTAATGTTTTAAATTATGGATTATAGTACTAAACATTAGTGTTACTTTTTCACTTTCCTATGCATTGATAACTGGCACTAAAACAATTTTAATAAATATTTTCAAAGGCCACAGAACAATATTAACTTCTCCCACGGATTGTTAAGACGACATAGTATGGTTTCAGCTTGCACCATCATTTTTATTGTCCAGCACTACTGTGCAAAGCCAGGAGTGCTACCTCCACCTCTCTATCTCTTGTCTATCTATTCACTCCCCTCCCCCAGTCTCTTTTCCCTCCCTTCCCCCCCATCACTCCCATCACTCCCATCTCTCCCTGTCCTCCTCTCTCTCCCCCATCTCCTCATCTATGTATATATCTTTTCCTATATCTATACCTGTCCATTCATTTATCTTACCATCCATATCTATATCCTTTCATCCACCTAGGTATATCTATATTTATTTATCTCTATTCACCCATCTCTATGAACATATCTATCTTATCTATATCCATGAATCTATTTCTATATTCTCACATAATTCACTAGACTGTCATTAATTTCAGACCCAGTAATAGCAATTCATCCCCAAAGAATTCCAGCTAAATATAACCAACCCAGTAATTTCACACTCTGGCCACATTGTCCACCTGCAGCAGAAAAATCCCAAGAGTGAGTGTAACATAGCCCTGGCCTGAGTGAAACAGGCTGCTGGTAATCAAGATCTTGGCAGTATAATTAATGGAATGATATTCCTAGAGCCTCTTTAAAGATCAGCTCCGCCAT